CTAAGTTGCGGGAGTGAACAGGTGTGTGATCCCCCCCCCCCCCATGTAACTCGCATAGGCAGAGAACTGATCCAACAAAGAAACTTACGAGAGTGTCAGTCGTAACGGCATAGCTTGTAGGATAGGCCAGTATATACAACGGCTATCGAGTGTCACTGTAGCGACCGGGCGCTTGCTACTAGGTTTGTAAAACAGTGCTACAGCCTTGTAATAGGTAATTCTCTTTGACATCAGCATTAAAGAGAGACAGTGTTCAGTGATGTGTGTGTCTGAAGTATTCCTTATCTTCTTGTGCGAGCGATGCCCAGAAGTCGCCCTGAGACAGAATCTTGTCCTATAAACTGTGCAGTTGAAACCACAAACGCCCACCTATTTTTTTTCCCTTCCAAATTTGTGGATTGCGCCAAAGTCCACTGGCACCCATATCAATTAAAATTCAGAGTAAATCCCACACATTACTGTGAACCAGAGCGTAACGAGGAAGCTGCAGATTAAAGTGGAGGAGCCAGGCAAGACAAGTGCAGCAGTGGATACCACCCAGTAGCAGTAGTAGTGACCACTACGGTGAAGGTAGGTGACCGACCCAGGAACCGGCGGGCATCGATCAACACATTAGAAGAAGAAGAGGCGGATAATACCTCCAGTGATAGCAGATAAAGCAGGCCAAAGCGTTCAAGAAATGAAGGTGTCGAGCCTTATAAAGAAGATAGCAGATAAACCCAAAGTCATTAAATTATTTAGACATGTAAACAAGTAATCAATAAGTAAACAAAAAACAGAATAGGCACATAATGCAGATCAATTTCAAGGCATCCATTTCATTACAAATATTAAATTATATAAACCTTCTATGATAATAAGGCCTGCAGCAAAGAATACTTAACTCCTAAATCTAAAGCAACTAATTTGTAAGATACGTGTATATGCAGAAGTTATATATCAAAGAATGGATATAACACACTAATTTCAACAAAATAAACCGAAAATCTTATTGATCTCAAATGAAATACTGAACCAAATTTATGGCAATGGACATATAAAAAGAGATACGTGAATATTTCTGTAATAGAAACAATCTTTCAAAGAGATTAGTATAGCTTATAACACTATAAAAGAAATTACAGAATATTATTAACCTTTATCCTACGGCCCTTTAAATTCATGTTTTCCCAGCCNTATGATGAACCTAGCACAAATTTGTATCATACAAAAACCTTCAATTTGTGTAATCAGAGAATTACTTGAGAATAAACAGATTATTTTGAACACTACACTACATTCAACGAAAATACTCATACATATTCATAGAACAGCGAATTTTAGGTGGCCTCTGTAGACTCGGACTGTCACACTGAGTGGACACTTTCATGTGCACATTATGAGGAAATTCCATGTTTCACGGTGAACTCTGCGACACCCGTTTAGATTTCTTCCGCGAGCGAAACTTTCTCTCAACATTATGTACTCTGAGATGCGTGTGTAGGTGAGAGCTCTGAGTGAACCTTTTCTTACACACTTCGCATGAAAAAGGCCGTTCTCCAGTGTGTACACCGAGATGCGTGTGTAGGTGAGAACGCTGAGTGAACCTTTTCTTACACACTTCGCATGAAAAAGGACGTTCACCACTGTGTACTCTCAGATGAGCAACTAGGTACTGGCGAAGACGGAACATTTTCTTACACACTTCGCATGAAAAAGGTCGTTCTCCAGTGTGTATTCTGAGATGATCGTTTAGGGTATAGCGGCAAATGAAGCTTTTCTTACATACTTCACATGAAAAAGGTCGTTCCCCACTGTGTATTTTCAGATGCATTTTCAGGTTTGTGTCATGACGGAACATTTTCTTACACACTTTGCACACAAAAGGTCGTTCTCCACTGTGTATTCTGAGATGAGTGAGTAGGTTACGGTGGATAGTGAACAGTTTCTCACACACACTGCACACAAAAAGTCGTTCTCCAGTGTGAATTCTGAGATGACTGACTAGGCTACAGCGATGACGGAACATTTTCTTACACAATTCGCATGAAAAACGTCGTTCTCCAGTGTGTACCCTGATATGAGCGTCTAGATCACAGCGACTAGTGAAGCTCTTATTGCATACATCGCATGAAAAAGCCCCTTCATCACATCCGAATCGTTGCAATGGACTGCTTTTATCATTGAACGATTTCACACACTTTTCACAAAGAGACATTTTTTCTCTGTTACTTACATATGTGTGTCCTGATAGATTATTGTTACAAGAGAAAGATTTCTTACAAGTCCTGCACGAATTAACATTCTCTTCGACGTTTAACTCTGAGAGTTCAGCACTATGTTCACCATGAGGTTCCTCAATGCAATGTGTTGCTTCAGTAGCAGTTGCATTTAATTGAACATTCTGAAAGGAAGGGAAACACTGTCAGAACTTGTAATGGAAAAGGCGTGTGAGCTATTTTGCAATATTACAATTCTCACCTGGACAAGTACTGTTAGACCAGAAGGTAGAGAGAATACTAGCATGTGCCTGATTTGCAATGAAAATATTGCATCAGACATAGGATGCCCACCTGCCTGCCTGCCTATTTATGGCTCCTAGAGTCCTTTATTGTTGGGCCTAGGCCGCTTTTTCAGTTTCTTAATCATATACACAGTCAGAAATACTCTTTGGATGGGGGTCATCCCATCACAAGCCCACTACCTGACCACAAAAGAGCATAAAAAAACACACACACACATCCATGCCTTGTGTGGGAATCGCATCCATGAAGGCAGTGTTTGAGAAAGCAAAGAAATTTTATGCCTTAGACCATGCAGCTACTTGGATTGCACATAGGACACTATACAGATAAATTATCCTGGACACCTGAACCAGTCCACACACAAATGGAAAAATATTGCGAGTGATGAGCCACTTGATAGGAAAGTTCGTTAAAAGTGTCACCGATTTAGCGTACGAGAATATAGAATTATCACTGAATGATATTCCTTTCCATCAGAAGAATTATGAGGTAATATATCCGAATGATATTCCTTTCCATCAGGAGAACTTTTGGAACACCAATGTATGAAGAAACATTTTCTTAATGTAGAATCGGTAGGTTGCGTTGTATGAAAAGCTATTATGTAATACAAAATTACATCTACATGTATTTAGGTACAGTGGAATACTGTCTTGTGAAATTCTGTCAGTTTTTGTTTTATTTTACTGAATGTTTATTTCACTGATCTTTCAATTTTTTCTGAACATCATTAAATACAATACGTAACAATTGCCTTTTCAGAACTTCACATGCCATGTCTGCGAATATTGTTATACACAACTTTAATTCATATTTATTGATATTGCAGGCCACTCTATCAAAGGCTTAAAAAACAAAGCATAATGTTTAAGCTATCTGAGAAGTTTCAATCAGTGATGAATATTACCATGTAAGATTTGAAGATCCGACAACATATACTGCGTATTCTGGAATATGCAATCACATAGATTGGTTAATCATTAAAAGAATACTGACTTTTGAGAGTTCATCTATAATAATTCGTTTAGGGTTCATTTAACTTAAAAGCATGATGAAACTTTAATCGTGCCTGGCTAGGTATTAAAGACAAATTCTTAAGCATCACCTGTGATATCATTCACAATAACTGCACTGAGCTCGGACTTCGAGATAATACTAATATAAAAGAACAATGATTCATACCATTAGTTTGGAACACTTCCAAAACAGTAATTTTCAGAGTCACAACTGTGGGTGCTGCAAATGTGATAGTACTTCCTTTTTCTATATGTTACAGTACTTTAATCAAATGTGAAAGACTGTGAATACAATTTAGTACTCACAAACACAAATAGATAGGGTATAACTGTGGTGAAACTTCTTACAAAGTAGCCATCTTGGAGACCTAGAGACCTAGGGGAGTAACAACAGGCTTGGACATTAGGAGAACAGATTTTTTGGACGGGTCCTAAAGTGTTAAGAATGCCTGTTGATTCTAAGGGCTTTGATACCTTTTGTTCTAACATGGACGTTATTACGCTTACGTGCAAATGAGATGTAGAGAAAGCCATCACGTTCAGAGTTGACTGCAATTAAGATCAAACAGACAGGGTTACCTGGCACAATAATTTACATGCAGACAAATATGAACTGAAGAGAAATAATGACATATAAATCCTTCTGATATACACACTTACAGCTTTATCCATCAGAACAGGAAATGTCGAGACAACTCGTGTCAGAGTTATTTTGGGGACTAGAGTTGCTAAGGAATGCAACGTCCTTCCCAATCTCATAAGGCGTTCTTCCTTACTTGTCATTCTTCTTCCATTATTCTGTGCTGAACACACACAAAGGATTAGTCACTGGCACATCAAAAGACAGAAAGGAATCATATGACTCCTAGAAGAGAAAGTAAAGAGGGAAATATTGATATGATATTGCAATACTCAGCTAGTAAAGATACAACTCTAGAAAAAATGTAAGGGTTCCCCCCCCCCCCAAAATTGCAGTGCCGCTGTAAGGGACCATATGACAGTGAAGAATTCACTGGCCACAGCCACGGTAATGTTGTGACATGAGATGCCTGCTTATGTAAGTGCATTGAGTGAATCTTTTCTTACATCACACGAAAAAGGTCATTTTCCAGTGTGTACTAGGATATGAGTGTCTAGACCGGGGCATCTAGTGAATATTTTATTGCACACATTGCATGAAAAAGGCTGCTGACAAACTCTGAATCGTTGCAACGCACTGGACTTGACAGTGAACGATCTGACAAACACTTCACAAAAAAACATTGTTTCTCTGCTGCTTTCACTTGCATGTCCCAAGAGATTAATCCCGCTATAGGATGATTTCTTACATATGTCACATGAATCCAAATTCTCTTTGCTGCATAACTTTGACAACTCTTCACTCTGTTCACCATGCTCTTCGGCATTAAAATCCATACTAAAATGTGCTGCTTCATTACTAGCTGCCTTTAACTGAACACTCTGAAAGAAAAAGAAACAGAATAAGAACGCGTAGCGGAAAATATAGTGAAATATTATAAATAAGTTAGATGAGAAGAAAGCAAGATATCATTCTGGCATAATATATTTATGTAAATACTAGCAGTGTCTTGATTGTTGCAATGGGAATATTGCATGGACATGGGGCATACAGACAAATTAACCCAGACATCTGAACTGGGCCAAACACAATTGGAAACATGTTGCGAGCAATGACTCACTTGATAGGAATGTTCGCTAAAACGGTCATTGAGTCAGAGTATGAGTATGTGGAATTAACTCTAAATGATATTCTTTTCTGTTCAGAGACTTTTGGGAATCCCATGGTATGTAGAAAACCTCCTTCATCTATACGACTCTGCGGTTCCTGGCGACTGGTGCGCTACTTGCTGTGAGGAACATGACAATTTAGTGGATGAATCATCATGTCTGAAAGGCAATAATGTTTGGAATGAAGTAGTTACCATTTTCAGATCACAGAAGGTGTTTAAAATGCACTCCTCTCAACAAGTGGATATTTTAAGGAACTAAGTGTGTCATTAAAAAGCACAAGTGTTACATTCCTTCTTGCACTTACAGCACACCAGCCATGAAATCCTCCTTGATGACTTCTGGAATTGTGTGCTGTTCTTGCACCAGACTTTAAGACTCCAGTCTCTTGAAGTAGATGTTTGAGTCATTTTCAACGTGTACAGGGTTTGTCCGAAAAGTAATGTCAGTGAGTCAATTAAAAGACTTTTATGGATTAGATCGGTGCAACACATTAAAAGGCTTCAAAATAGGCTTCTTCTGCGTCGATACATCGATTCCAGCGAGATTTCTAGGCATCGAAGGCGTCATGGTAGGCCTCCTCCGGAATGTCCTTTAGAGCCTTGGTGCAAGCCTCTTTGACTTCGCCAACTGTCCCAAAATGATGTCCTTTCATGAGAGTTTTCAAGCGCGGAAACAAAAAGAAGTCTGGGGAGCCACGTCAGGACTGTAGGGCGGCTGGGGAACCGTTGGCACCTTTGAATTGGTCAGGAAGCGGGTCACGAGGAAGGCGGTGTGGGCTGGCGCATTGTCATGGTGAAGTTTCCAATCGTCCGCGATGTCGGGCCGGATGAGACAAACACTTCGTTTGAGTCTCTTTAGCACTTCCATGTAGAATTTGGCGTTGATGGTTGTACCATGTAGTACAAACTCACATTTTCGTCGGTGGTGCTTGTTGATGGCCGTCCAGCGCGGGCTTCATCGTCGACCTCTTCACGGCCTTCTAAAAAGGCCCTGTGCCACCGGTAGACCTGACATTCCGACAAACAATCATCACCGAAGGCCGTCTTTATCATGGGAAAAGTTTCCACTGCAGACTTGCCAAGTTTCACACAAAACATGATGGCAATCCTTTGTTCCAAGGAGCGCTGCATTGCGGCTTGCACGGGAGACAAAAACGAGTTTCACGGAAAAGCCTTTCGTCACTCTCAGGAAGTTCGGAGACGACTAAGCGACCGCGGGTTCATAAGCTGACTTCCCCCTCCACCGATCCCAACCGGTCTGAGAGTGCTGCGACATATAGTCACTTCACAATAAAATAACTGACATTACTTTTCGGACAAACCCTGTATATTTATGTCTGGTCCCTATGTCATCTAACGTCTCCTCAGTAAGCACTCGGCATTTATTATTTTGTTTCTTGTCTATTAGGGGTCCTGCTGTTCTAAGTTTAGTCACCGAACTATGAATTTTTGTCTGCTGGGAACTCTTTCATTGTAAAATTTATGTCGAAATTAGCACTAACACCTTTCAGCTGATCCATGTTACATACAGGTATTGTACAGAAATACACGTTGCTCTAAAGTATACAGCACCATGACTCTTACTAACTGTAAATGAGAAGAGATTGCTAATGGAGCTGATAACTAATGCCTAATGCTAACAAATTATAAACAAACTCTAACACATGAACTGTGCCGCTTCATTGCTGATAATGGGGATCCAAATGCAAGAAAAGTCCAAACTGGGTTGGCTAATTGGTTTGGCCGAGCATGGCATATGGGCCGCTTCCTTGTATTTCCTATACCTGATGTGGCTTTCAGTATCCAAAATCTTAGCTTCATCCCAGCCTACCCCATGTCCCTCTTCATAGGCATGTTGAGCTAGTTTAGATTTTTCTAGAAGACCTTGTTTGAGGATATGCCTATGTTCCGAGAGCCGCATGGCCAGATGTCTGCCTGTTTCTCCAATGTAGCTTCTGCCACATTCACAGGGAATGCTATAGACACACTGTGCCATCTGTTGCGGATCTCTTTTCGGTCTTGTTTTCATAAATGAGTTCCTAAGAGTGTGTTTCGTTCGGAAGATGGTCCTAATATTATATTGATTACCTATCCCTTTAAACTCTTCAGAAACACCCTTCACATATGGAATATATACAGAATACAGAGGTTCTTCCTCTTTCTTCGGACGACTACTGCCCTTGGAATTAATGACCGAGTCAATGAAGCCTTTGAGATAACCGTTCAATTGAAGATTGTGTCTCAGGTTGTTAATTTCTTTGACCAAATCTTGTCAATCTTGGCATTTGGTGGAGGCTCTGTCATGGAGACTTTTAATCAAGCCTCTTTTTACATGTGGCGGATGGTTAGATTTGAAGTTGAGGTATTGGCCAGTGTGGGTGGGTTTACTGTAGACTTGTGTGACCAATGCCGTCTCTTCCCTGATGACCAGAACGTCCAGAAAAGAGATCGCATTGTCTGACTCAGTTTCCATAGTGAATCAGATGGAAGGCCTTAAACTGCTGAGGTGGTCGAAGAAATTCTGTAATCTCTCTGGACCATGAGGCCAGACTACAAAAGTGTCATCCACGTATCGCAGCCACAACGGTGGTTTGTACGGTGCTAAGTTAAGAGCTAGTTTTTCAAAATGCTCCATGAAGATGTTGCTAACGATGGGCGAGAGAGAATTTCCCATAGCCATGCCATCTTTCTGTTGGAAGAACTTGTCATCGACCTGAAAATTGGTGGTTCTCAAGCAGACTTCCAGCAGCTCCATAATGGCTTCGACCTGCAAGACAGACGGTTCTGTCAGTGTGAAATCGTCATGGAGCTTGTTTTTGATGATTTTTAGGACTTTGTCGACTGGTATATTAAACTACTAAAGACGCCATATGGCGTCGCAAAAATAAAGTCAGCGGTACGAATGACGCCATATGGGGTCGCACAATCCGCGCGTGCGGACGTTATTTGAAATACATTTTTAAGGTAGAAAATAATGTCCTACTTATATAATTTTTGGCCACCATCTGCATGGAGTGTCTGTCTTCCCACCTGCGTCATCTGCGGGAATGTTGCCTTCGTGTGGAATTCTAAAAAAAATCCGGAAATGCAGAGTCTGATTTCGCACTTCACGCACTTTGTCTGGACGGTCTTTCGTTTCCCACGCGAAAAGCACACACGACACCTCAATTGCGAAGTAGAGGAAGTCGGCCAGTGATGTGGTTTGGCCTTCT